CTACAAGCTGCAATTAATGAGACAAATGGCAGGCTGTGTGATGCCTGACAGGCTGCTGGCTGTCGGTGCGGTAAGGACCGCTCCACACAGAGTACCGAGCTTTCTTTTACATTGATGACGTACATCAGCAGTGTGTACTAGTATGACTGTATTTACAGAACAGTTGAATGTGGACGATAGTAATGTACATAATCCACATAAGGAAAGGAACAGTTTATGATCACAAAGATTCCTCCCATACTCTGTACTCTAAACCGCGTGTAGTGTTTGTTTAAAACCATGGTTCATAACAGACGACGTTTCTCTGTGATCAAACAAGGAAGACGGGGGAAACCTCTCTGCAGCCTTCACTCTCATCTTCAGCAGCCAGTTACAAAGCCAGGCTTCCCCGACGGCTGAAGTCTGAATTAGCCAAACTTCTTTTTTCCTCCCCCCCCGCGCCCCCCTCCTGTGAGTTGGTGGTTGTGTGCGATCCTATAACGAGCTCCATCTTTGACCTGGGTTGTATGTTTCCAAAGATGTCATGTCTTGTAAGTCAAGGAAAGACTTTAATGTCCTCATGAGTTAACATTAAAGGGAAGGATTCCAAAAAGAGGGCGCCGTGCCAGAGAGGTAATAATATCCCCACAAAATGAGAAATCTTAAATGCTAAATTCATCCCACAGATTATACGAACAGACTAGGAGCAAGTATAAAAACAGCAATGATCTCTAACTTCTTCGCTGTAAAACTTTATCTACATATTCCTACGAGAACCTTTGAGATCCTTTAACCACCCGGGATTGAAGTTTTCTTTTTGTTTATGCTGATATTTTTGTCCCACAAATGAGCTTTTGAACTCTGAATTCGTACGGTGTGTTTTCTGTTACAACACATGACTTCAGCTTTTATTCCTAACTTCAGATCGCCAGGATAAAAGAAAGTGAAGAGGAGAAAAAGATTACAGTGACAGACTTTGGCTTGTGACCATAAGTGACATGCTTGCCACGGCATTGTTTGAGGTTTCGCAGACCTGTAATCAAATTTGGGAAGGTTTGGAAACCTATGGTCATGGTGTGCTCTCCAAGACACAATAATGTCCAGTAAAAGAGAAAGGAAGGTAATTGTTTTATATACATGTACTTCTCTGTGCTTTGTCTCTAACAAGTTTAAAAAAGGAAAAAAAGATCCAAAAAAGTAATTTTTCCAAGTACCATGAAAAACATTCCTATTACAAATATTGTTGTTATGTCCCTAGATCTGTTTTTTTTTTTTTTTGGTCATATTGCTGCAGGGCTGTTTCTTCTTCAAGAAACCCTGCTTCAATTAAATGTGATGGAACACATGTGTCCTCTATCAGGCGTAGCATCTTCTACTGTTGGCCTTTGAAATGACACCAGCTCCACGGGATAATTGTGTTTTTTTCTGGGATTCTCTCAGGGCACCTCTTCTTGTGCGTGTTGGCATGGATCTGCCGACACCCACCGTGTCCATAGAATTGTAATAAGTGGTTGTGCATGTCGTAAGCTGCAGGGACAATAGTGATCCCGGGGCCCAGCTCTTTGCTAACCTCAGCCACAGACTCAGGTCTGTCCTTTGTACGTGTCTGACTGAATCTGATGTGTCCCTGTCCTAACAAAGGCTGGTCTGGAAGAATAGACATACCTATTCATCCATGTTTGACAGTGACCCCGGAGAAGGAAGTGCCTCAACTTATAAAAGGGAGTTTACTAGTTTTTTACTTTACATTACTAGTTGTTTTTTTTTAATGTTGTTGTGTTTTGAGCCTTCAGGGCCACCATAGTTTACACTGATAAAACCTCCCTGAAGAGTTTACAGTCACATGAACTTGTTTTACATTAGAAGGTAGATCATTTCAATGCTGTATATTTAGGTGCACCGTGGAGGTGTATGGGGCGGGGCATTAGGAAGATGGGGCCCAAAAGAATATTAATTTATTATAATATTACTGTAAAATATTGCTTTAAGACATTTCTTGTAGTGAGTATCAGTCTTGCATTTAAATAGTGAATTCTTCACAGTATGTAGAAATATATTCGCCTTCTTTAGTTTGTTACACTAAACGGGGGCAGTGTTTCCCAACCTTTTTTGAGCCACGGAGCACCACCAAACAAAACTCTCACAAAAAGTTTATGTAATGAAATAAAATAATGTATCTTAAATTGACTAAAAATGTACTCCTGTTTAGTTGAAGGCACTGCTGATATACTGGCAGGAATTGAAGATAGACACAAAGCTCTTCAACCGCTCTGATCATCTTTTAGTTTTAGTTTTAATAGCCATCTGCTGCCACCTAGCAGAAAAGGATTTAATTGCTCTGCCTGTCACGCATTGACGAACAAAGAAAATATATATTTGTAAAAAAGAAACAATAGTTTTGGAACCAATTAAGTAACATTTCATAATTTTCCAGGGCACACTAGTGGGCCCCAGCACAGTGGTTGGGAATCGCTGACATAGGGGGCTATTGTCATATACTTCCATGGGGCCCAGAATTCCTGGCAGCGGCCGCGTGTGTGTATAATTTATTCTATTGTCTGTCTTATTTTGAAGGGAATCAGAACGCAAGTATTTCCCCAGTGTGGGATCAAAGAAGTTTTTTGTTTTTTTTAAATATATTTTTTGAATAAAACAGCTGAGCACTTTGTCAAACTGTTTTATGTTTCGAAAATGGTTTCCAATCAGATAGTTACATTTACATTCTATTATCTGATACGTTTGGTTAATATTACTGTAGGATAAATGACTGTACTTGTGCAGCATGTATTGTTAATTACTACTACTTTTATGAATTAGCTGTGCAAGAGACGTCACTGAACTTACAGGAAGTCGCTACAACGCCTTAAACTAACATCAAAGCAGGAGCTCAGTGTCATCTTGTGCTGTTTATCTGATCAACACACACACACACAGACACACAGACACACACAACAAACTTTAACAATACAGAAAAAAACTCAGCTATTGATTCTCCTGGCTCTCACCACCAAGTGATCTCCAAACCACTGCTGACATCTCATTATGGACCAGTGTTTAGTGTTATGCTCTGTTTACGTCACATCAGAAAAACAGCAATTTGCAGCAGTATGCGAACAAAACACTTCATAACAAGAGGCTATGGCAGCAAGAGATTTTTTTCTTTAGTCCTTTTGATTTACAAGCGTAAGGAAAAAGATAAAAGTGTAGCATGATCGGAGTGGAGGTCATTGTGACAGGGCAGAATGGAAAACTGATGACCTACAATCATCCTCTGCCGGCTTTGTCTACACCAAGCACCACCTTGTCTAACACTCAGACGGACTGCTCTGTGGAACGCATGAAACGTTTGAATCTTTTTTGTAGTGTAGTTTCATTTCTATGATACATTTGTTTCTTGTTGCTAATGTTAAAGATGAAGTATGGGGAATTTAATTTAAGTATGTACTGTATGTATTTCAGCAAACCTCAACAAGTCACTCCTATGTTGTTTTTTTAAAATTTGTGCTAACTTTGGAAACATCCTTAACTACTCTCATAATAGCTGTGGAAACAAGGGTTTTACACCGGCAAAGCGAGGAGCTGCCCCCGGCTCAGAATAACTGCCTAAGCCATCAACAGGAAGAGGCTGCTGTGTGACTGTGGGCCAAATATTTTAATTGGCCGTCTGCAAGAATTTCTGCTGTGGCAAAGTAATTGACCCACAACTCCCTGGTGCTTTATCAACACTGGAAAAATGCCACGAGGCCGATAACTGGCAGTCTTGTAAACCAATCTATAACAAATGGTCAATTTAAAACATGTGTTATTGGCTACTTTACTACTGGTCTTATCATCCACTTGACAGGATCTGATGGTTAGGTGTGTAACACCTAGCTGTTTGGGTAAAGTCGTTTCAGCAATAGAGCAAATGAAATTCAACCCAGTATTAAGATTTCAAAACAACTAATTATTGTAGCATTATTGATACATATACTGTACTGTAGAAAAAGGACCACGACTGTTGGAAAGATGATGAAGTACCTTATTCTAATCATATCAATATAATGAAATAATATAAATATCATTTGTATTTCTTTTGATTTACAAAACTGACATCATGTTCTTTTCATGTTCTGTTCTCTGTAGGAACATGTCACTCTCCTACACTAACACAGTGGTGACATCATCATCTGGTACATAAAAACATCAGAACAGTCTGACTTATGCCTGGGAGCCATAATGAAGGGCAAAAAATACACACAAACGCAAGACAGTGAATATAGCACGATCCAATGTATGGCGAATATAAACAAAGTCGTCTTCTGCGTACTGTGTTACGTGATGACATATCCGTCCACTCCACTCGCCAACTACTTCCTGTGCAAACTGTTTGCCGAGCTTTAACACCATACGTTGGAATGATGAAACAAGACTTTCTAAAGGGAAATGGGAGATGGCGATGTAACCATGAAACGCCATAGGTCGAGGACGTCATAAACCGAGGACTCCCTGTATTTGAAATGGAGGTGCAACAATTAAGTTTGAATTTACTTTGAACATTTTTCTCCTTTGTCCCCAACAGCAGTCTATCAACTTTCTTCAGAATGTACAAAACTAACACCAAATGAACTTAAAATTTCAAATACCCCGGGGCAAACAACTCAGGCAGTAAATGACTTGAGGTCTTCCTGCCTCACGGATTCATGTCACCGTCACGTCAGCAGCGGCTCATGACAAACAGTCCAGCCGGTTCTCACGGTCAGTGAGCTCTACTAGTTGACTGCCTAGAATTATGCCATAAAGTCTCTGAGTGAGTGTGGCAGGTCATGAACAAAACCAGCTACCAATTAACGTAATGACTGCATCTATCACATTCAATTAGAGGCAGCCTCGGCGTTTCTGCTGAACAGAAACACAGATGGAGAGTGATCACCTTCGGAGACGTGTCTCTCTGTGATGCTTATCTGACCAACCCTGTGTCATATTCGAGTCAGTGGGCCCTGACAGGTCCCACAGATAAAGTGCAGTATGAAAGGGGTCACCTCAGCCTCTGGAATCCATCGTCAGCCCTCTGTCTTGCACAACTGACAAACAACATTCAGGGGGCTTTGGAGAGAAATTCCCTGATGAGTGTCTGCAGACAGAAGGGAGAGAAACAAAGGGAGAGGGAGAGAGAGGAGAAACAATGAGAAAGAACGAGATGCGTGAGCGAGATAAGTGATCTGAAGCAAAACAAAGAATGGAACCCACTTTCCCTCAACTGGCTCCTTACTTTGGCAAAGGTTTACTGTAATCCCCTGGAGGAGCTGCTATCTGGCATGAGTTTGCTCCATGGTCAGTGTCTTTAACCCCAGGTGATAACAGTTAGCCAAGCCATAAAGAAAAAGCCCTTTAACTGATCCATTAGTGTCCAGTCCTTCAGAGTGGACCCACTGGTGTCTACTGAAACTTACCAGGAAACCTTAAAGGAGAACGTCATGGCAGACATACGACAAGATCAAAGGCACACCCCCCCCCCCCCATTGTCTCCCCCCAAAAGTCCAGCACTCTCTCAACTGTTTTTTCATTTCTTTCTCCCCTTTAAAGATATATCCAAACAATTTTTATAAAAGAGAGAAGACAAAAAAATGATACAAATATTAGATTGATCACATGTGTTTTTATATATATTTAGATTGAGCAGTTTGCATAAAAATACTACTTTACCTCCGGCTACCAATAATAGACCCATTGTCTCCCCCCAAAAGTCCAGCACTCTCTCAACTGTTTTTTCATTTCTTTCTCCCCTTTAAAGATATATCCAAACAATTTTTATAAAAGAGAGAAGACAAAAAAATGATACAAATATTAGATTGATCACATGTGTTTTTATATATATTTAGACTGAGCAGTTTGCATAAAAATACTACTTTACCTCCGGCTACCAATAATAGTAAATAGAATTTGATGTCAACTCGACTTTAGAAAAATATATTTTTACTGTTTTTTTATGTTAGCAGTTTTGAATCTTTAGCAAGTTTTATATTTAGTTTTCAACATACAGTTCAAACCTTAAGTAAAATAATTTGATGATGTTTTTAGTTCCTATTATTACCTAGAATTATTTAACATTATTTAACCCCAGGAATGAGGCTTCATTGTTGAGGTGGCCATGTTGGATCACAGTGATTTTAAATAGTTTTTATGGTTAAGTTTGACTTTTTATGCTTTATAATGTCACCATTATAAATGTTTCTTAACTACCTTTAAAACTAAACCTGTTATTGAAGTGTTGCCATGCTTGGCTTTCTTCTTGTGTCACTAATATCTTTTGTTCAGAATTTGTGACAAATGTTTTAACTTGGTCACATCTGAGCCTGGCTTTCAGTTTCTTCTCAAAAATGTCGTGGTTGAAACCTGATACACGTAAAAAAGTAGTATTTATTTCCCCCTCCTCTCTTTGTTTGTCGTCCTATCGTGGTCTCACCATATTATTACAGAGACCTTTAAACCACAGTCATCAAGGTACGCCGGGTATTTTTTCCCACAGGCCTAAGAAATCCTTATCAGGCCGAGTGTGTGCACGTTTCTCCTTCACATCTTCTCAGCAGCCTGTAAATCACTATTGCTAACTTCCAGCCGCATTAAATAAACGTGCTGGGGTTGCTGACTAATTGATAGCGTTACAATCTGAACGAGCAAAATTGAAAACATCAGGGGAGAAACACAGTGGGATGTTGGTAGTAAAGAGAGGGAGGAAAAGACGTTTGAGGAGACCGACTGAGCGCGGGGGGTGTACGGGGAGGAGGAGAGAGGGAGAGGAAGAGGTTTTGGTGGTAGAGTGAGAAGGGGAGGAGGAGAAGAGGAAGGGACATATTAAAGTGACTGGTGATGAGACGGAAGTTAGAAGAAATGATGAAGTAGAGGAAAATGGTGTAAATGGAGGGATGACAACCAGAGGTGGAGACTGAGTGAAGTCAACGTGAACTCACCAACAGTCACTACCTCTCCCTACATATCACCACATCCACCACTTGGGGCACCCTCACCTGGCAACAAATGAAGAATTGAGTCTACCAAAGCTGTCCTCTGTTTCATTTTGCAGAGGATGGTATGAGTTTTGGAATGCTGTTAAATTCTATTATTTTTTACCTAAAAGACCTTTAAATACAAAAAAAAATCTTTATTACATATTTCTCACTGTATATATTATATTTGGGCTACAAGGAGGTGAAGGCTAATGTTAGCATTTTCTACGTCTTTTTTATTCAAAAAAGCCTGAATTGAAACACACAAATGTGGGATGTTCATCAGGCGGCCATCACACTTATTCAATGTGATGTGTTATGTTTCTCTACTATGTTGAAACAAGCTATAAAACGCACAAACAAAGACAGAACTTATTTGCATTCACAAATGTGGCTAGCATTTGACACAGCGTTTGCACGCACATGTCACATGATGTCATAACAGTAGCACGGTGGCTTGTTTAAAGGTGGAGGAGAGTGCGGGGGGTTACAGTTCAACTGTAACAGCCGTCCGAGCACATTGATGGTTATCATTTGATATGTAGCACATCAATGCTGTCTCTGTCCTTCATTCAGCTCAGACAGGCTCCACTTCAACAGTGTCTCACCCGCAGACAGGGTGAGAGTGACGCAGACTGTGGGTCCTATACTTCAGTGTTACTGAGAAGACAATGCATAACATGGAGTCATAACATGGTCACATTAGTCCGATTAAACTATGCATTTATATAGTCTTGGTTAAACCACTATTGACAACAGATTTTCTTTTGTCAATGTACTTCGTTGGGAGGCCTCGATCCGATACTCAGGATCGGTATCAGTCCGATATTGGTCAAAACATCATGGTTGTTTTTCAATAGTTAGCATGCTTCGCCCTCCGACAGTCCACAGAACCAAAGACCTGTCACCCGTTACCGAGCTCCCAACATGTCTCTCAGTGTCTTTCTCTTAATTACCCATCATTCCTCTTGCTGCCAGGCCCCTCACAAATTACAGCACATTGTCCCCCGCAGATAGGCCTGTCATCATGCAGCTCTGTGTTTCAGAGCACTGTGAAAGGAAAGGAGAACGTGGGGGGCAGGGGAGGGGCAAAACACACACACACTCACACACACACACACTCACACACAGGCCCATTAGCACTGGTGCCAGACAGTTTTCTGCCATGTCAGCAGGACCAAATGACAGTGCAGGAGTTGTAATACATCCTCTCGTTCTCTCAGTCTCTCTCTCTCTCAGTCTCTCTCTCTCTCTCTCAGTCACACACACACACGAAGCATCCTCTGTTTTGAACCAGTGCAGTGTCCATGTTAACTCTATAAAAGAACATGTCAACCCCTGTGACAGTGTGACCCCCACATGGACCTCTGGGGTCTCTATGTGCCGCACAGAGTGTCAATAGCTAAAAGTAAAAAACAACACTGTTTCCCTTGACATGACTTCAGGACCTAAGTTGCTAATGACTGTGCCAATAGCTTTTGATCAGGGAAAGTGATGCGCTATACAAGGTTTTAAATTTTTTTTAAAAAAAGGTGCTGTTTTTTGTTTACATCCTTATTTTTCAAACCATGAAATTGAGCAAAATCTAAATCATATTCGAATGAAAACCTTTTAAAATCACTGAGGTTTTTGCAACAGATTTGGACTTAGCTAAATCTGCCTTTTTGTTGTGGTTTTGTTTGTTTGTTTGTTTGTTTGTTTTTTGTCGCCCCACAACTAAAAGAACATTGTGGAAAAAACTGGCAAAGAAGCAGGAAGTGACCTGGTGATCAAGACTTCCACCAGAGTTCTACAAAGAAGGAATTCTCTGATGGAAACAGTTTTTAGATGTGGTTAGAATTAAATGGAGAATTTGTTAATTTTTTTTTTAATAACTTTTTCACTAGCATTTGTTCTACAGAAGTGCTGTTCAGATGTGTAGATAATAAAACTGGAGTTTCAAACACTAGGACTGCTGATAAATATCAATGTTCATGTCTTTGGAGTATTCATCATTGATCATAAAGACCTGTATTTTTTAATTGGTTTGCATGGAGAGAACTTCTGACATTTTTCCTATAATTTGTTCTCCTTCTTCAGGCTTATGGTCTTGTATATGTTGCACACAAAACCTCAGCTCCATCTGCCAAACTGTTGCATCAGAAAAAAAGGCTGAAAAACAAACACACACTAAACTTTAATTGCACCCTTTCGCCTCGGGTCTAAAGGCTTACCATTTTATTGGTCCTCTATTATTACTTGAATGCAGTCATAGACTAATTAATAATCACTAACATATGCTACGTAGAGTGTGTAATCCCCCGGTGTCGTTTGGTACAAATTAAGAGTGCGCACTGTTAGGGCAACTTCACCCACGGTGTTTGTTTCTCCTGGACGTGTTGGTAACAACATTGGTTGGACTTAGTGAGAAATGTCTGTATTTATCAAATGTTTGTCAAAAAAACTGAAGATTTTTAAAACATATTTTGATTGTTTCAAATAATTCAAAAAAGGGTATTGTTTGACAAAATTTTTTTCACCACGTGTTTCGTGTGTTTTGACTTAACGCATAAAGTGAAATCATAATAAAAGCACCCAAAATAAGTCCTTAATTTAATGACAATATTGCAATAAAAGACGTCACAAGACAGGAAAGAGGGGAGAAGTCTCCATTTGGCACTGATTAAGGAAGATGCAAATTTGAAAGGGGGAAGTGAGAGACCACAGGGCTCACACACACACGACACAACACTCCAGACCCCTTCTAATTTGGATGTCTAAGAATTTGCCGTGTTCGCTGCCTTAATGCCAGGAAGTCTCAGCTTCACTGTTAATAACAGACACGGAGGCTGTGTGCACCCCCCCCCCCACACACACACACACACTCAGGAGTCATTAAAATGTTTTCTCTGTGACATATGTATTTAATTGGTCGTGTTTGCGTTTTCCTGCCTGCTCATTAAGAAAGCTGAAGTTTGTTCAGAACCAGAATGTGACGTAAATGACGGGTGAAATAATCTTTTTACATTTGATTACGATTCAAATGTTACTGAAGTATTTGACTCTCAGCGGGCCGCGGGTGGAACTGACGAACGAAAGACTAACAAAATTAAAATGCAAATTATTTACCTTGCGGTCAAGTGGTCCA